TTCGGTACGCGGGCCTCTCACTGTTGTGGCCTCTTCCGTTGCGGAGCACAGGCTCCGGATGCGCAGGCTCAGCAGCCACGGCTCAGGGGCCCAGCCGCTCCACGGCATGTGGGATCCTCCGGGACTGGGGCACGAACTCGTGTCCCCTGCATCGGCAGGCAGACTCTCAACCACTGCGCTACCAGGGAAGCCCCAAATACTTTTATATTACTTGCAGTACACTTTGTTTTGTGGCAAATTTTGATAATTTCCTTTAAAATTTAATAATGATTATTAAATATGTCCTGTATGCCAGGTGCACTGAGCTAGATGTCTTACCTTGGTTACTTCTAATTCTCACAATTCTCTTGAGGAAAGCTAGGGCCCAAGAAGTATTCAAGTTGCACAGCTAGTACTTTTGGGAGCCAAGATTCCAATCTGCATTTTTTTTTTTTTTACTCCACTCTATCATTCTGCTCTGTTTTTAGCATAACGTAGTATAAAAGCCCATAAAATGTGTGGAAAAGAGCTTTCCTAAAGTTCTTCATCCAGTATATTTTATTTTGCTTTTGCTATCGAGAGAATACAGCTATCCTTCATTTTAAGTGCTGTAGCCAATGCTATCTTAACATAGTGAAATTAATGACAGACACGTGTAAATATCTAAGCTAGCCCTTGAATCCAAGTTTAGATTTTTTTCAGTTAAGACTCTCCACTTGTCATACTCTTAGTAGCTCCATTATAAGAATGTAGTATTATTGGAGGGAAAAAATTCTTATTTGGGTTTATTAAAAAGTATAACTTAAAGAAAAAGTTATAGTGGTAACATTCACTGACATTCACATACCATTTTACAGTTTAATCAGTGCCTCGAGATCTTAAGACTCACATAGCTAGGAAGTGATGAGTTCCAATTTGGGTATTTTGAATCCCTGTTCATTATTGTTTTTCATTATACCTCACTGCCTCTCTGATAAATCTATAATACTACAGTTTGTACGATTAGATTGTAATATTCCTTTACCTGCTTCATTTGATTGCTTCAATTTGTCCAAAATAAGAAAAATCATAAACTGTTTTGTGGCAGAAAGAAAATACTGCTTTGGGCGTTAAGAGAACTGGATATTAGATAACCTTGATTTTTGTCACCAACTAACTGTAGCTTTGGTCATCTCTTTTCACTTCTCTGGTTTGGTCATTTACCTCTTCTGTAAGAAAAGGGAGTTAGAATCAGTTATTAAGGTTCCTTTTGTTCCAGATCCTATGAATCTGTAATTTTTGAATAAAAGCTGACCTTGGTCCTTTCTTCTGAAATAGCCACTCCAGTATTTTGTTAAAGTTTGTAGGCTCAGTCACACAGTACAGTTTTTCTCCCTTAAGGTTTTATCTTCTAACCTAAAGAACATTCTGCATAGTAAATACCCATATTTTCCAAGTTGGTGCATGTGGAAAATGTTATATTTTCCAGTGGGTGAGAGTCATTTGTGTCACTCTATTTGAAAGGCTTTGCA